CCTTCTCCATTAAAAACAAAAAATGGTGGAATATATATTCCATCTGCAGACACACAGAACAGCACTGAATAGATAGCTTTACCAGAAGAAGCAGCCAATTCATAACGTGTTTGCTTTTTGGATGAACAAATACTCTCTTCGTTAAGTAATTTGTGGAGAGCCCAGTCACATTAAGGTTGTATATACTATTTGGTACAATGTTATTATAATGGATTACATCAGATAAAATAGTAAAAAAGTTATCTGCAACTTCCCGTGTTAAACTTTTAGCTCTTGAAAATGTAAGTATTTCATGTTTTCGTAATCAAAGTTTATCAACATGACGCTTCCTAAAAGCAGTTATCCAATCTTTCCCAGGAATTCCATTTTTAAAAAGAGTTTTCATCCTCATGACTGTGCAAAACTGAGCAACTAAATTACAAATGTCAAGATAATCTAATGGAAGACCATATTTTTGACAATACAGAGCAGCAGCGACAACCATAGTTTCACCATTATCACTCAGCACACTTTTTCGATCTTCACGTTTGTTTGCATTAAATTCTTGTTGTTTTATTCTTTGTCTCAATATTTCTTTAGGAACAGAACATTCTTTAGCAGCATGATAAATAGTCTTTTTTTTCTTTACATATTAACATAATTGTTCTTTTCAAACTAACAACATTGTACTAGGGTTTTATTTTTTTATTGTAACGTCTTGACAATTTTTAAAATACTAACTAAAGTAACATTTAAAACAAATCTGATAAATTTTTAAAGAAATAAATTAGCATTATTCATAACATATCCCAAAAAATATATATTAACACCAAATAGGTCGCATATAATATTTTATTTGATCTAAGTGAATATATTGTTTCATTCAAATAAATACACATGTTTATTTATAAAAATTTTGAAAATATAAACTTCAAACATATGTGTTTAATAGTTCTAAAGAATTATTAAAACAAAATTTTTTAGGTCTGACGAAACTATATAAATAGATTAATAATGTTACTGACAACAACTTCGATAATATAATTACATATCATAATATTTTAAACACACAGACCCACTTTACCCCACCAGATTATATTTCAAAGTTTATTCAAACTATGTGCATTAGTGTCTTAAAGGTATACTGCCCTTAAAATATATTAATTTAACTTTCAAACTAAACATTTTTAATATGCTATTGCCTTAATTAAATATATTTTCTCTAAAGTTTAAAAACGGCCAAAAAAATGACTTTGTTTATGTTTCTAGCATTTTGGCTAAGAAGATACCGTTTCAAACAGCATAGCTAGACTAAATTTTAAATTAGTTAACCTAATATTTTATAACAAAGTGGTAAAAATTACAACTTTATACCTAAATCCATTACCAATATAAAAGATAAATATAAATTACACCCAGAATACCCCATAGACCGAAATTACCCCACTTTATTATATTAAGAAAATTAATATATATATATATATATATATACATATATATATATATATATATATATATATATATATATATATTATATATATATATATATATATATATATATATATATATATATATATATATACATATATATATATGTATATATATATATACACAGCTGAGTTAGGTAAGCATGATGATGTCATTCTCACCTAACGTCAAATAGCTTGCTGCCGGGGGCTTTAGTACATACATTGACTGACAAATAGCCTGGCTCGCAGTGGAATGCTGCTACATCTGAGGGTTTGATATGGGTCAGCAACCTTTTTATACATTATTCTTCGTTTTCCATCATTGTTTTCTAAAAACGCTCACTTATTTTAGGCTAGCAAAAATAGTCACCAATTGCAATATAAATATGCTTTAGTAGATTTATATATATATATATATATATATATATATATATATATATATATATATATATATATATATATATATATATATATATATATATATATATATATATATAACTATTACTATTATTTTACATATTTATCAATAAATACGAATTTTTTGTATTTATATATAAATACGATTATCTCTTTATACTAAATATAATTTCTAAAAGAAATTTTTATAAGATTGCACATTGCACCGGATTTTATTCTGATCTGTTTTTTTTAGTAAAACCCTATGAATGTCTAAAGTATCACTTTGTATTAAAATATATTAACTTTTATAATAAATTTTTCTTAAATAGTTGTTATTATTTAACTATTTAACAAACTTTATAAAACATTAAAAATGCGGATAAATAATTTTTTAATTTCAAATTTTACAACTTTTTTAATTCGTGAAACTGAATAATAAAATTTTTTGGTGGATTAAACTTAAAAACAAAATCAATGCAACAAACTTTAAAAATAAAATTTTGCACAATATTGAAAATATTTTTCTAGATTTGAAACTCTATTATTGATATCATTATATAATAGATTCGAAATTAATAGAAAATGCGAATAAATATATAGATTTGAATCTCTATCATTGACTCTAAATTAAATGTCCACAACGTTTTGAATAAGTCTCTAGATTATTTATAATCTCTATATTTAATAATGTATTTTTTTATTTTTTTTCTATTGACCGCCAATTTTGGTTAAAAAACGTTTTTATTATTATAAAGTCTACTAAGTTCTAAAGGTACAATGCAAATAATCAACAGGCACCCGTCATTCGAAATTATTTTTGTTTTAATTTACCTGTTTTAAATACCATATCATGTAGCACCATCAAAACCAGTCTTGCATCAAAATTTCAGTTTAGTTAATTTATTCTTTGCATTGTGATTAACACTTTAGTTTTTATATCACATAGCTTTTTATGTGTGTATGCGCAATGGTTAGAGTCCTTGCATTATAAGCAAGAGATCCAGGTACGAAACGAGCTTTAGGCATATTGCGCTTCACGGTAAGGAAGGAAACGTTAAATTTCTGGTTAAATGCATGTTGCATGTCGTAATTTATGGCTAAATAAAACAATAATAACATTGTTGAGCTTATTCTTTTTCCTCTTCTACAAGCATTTTCAAAAGAGCAACATCGTTTCCTAATTTCATTAATTGATGATGTAGCATTTAATTTACCGAAAGTGCAACAAAAATCGTTAGCTAGCCAATTTTCGTTGTTTTTCTCAAAATAAATTCATTTATTGTTTGCAGCAAGCAATTTTTTACATTTTAATTTTATAAAGTTTTACATTCAGAATTCTTTTCTTTAATATCTGCAGAAGCTAGAACAGTTTATTTCGATGAAAAGAATTGTATATTGTTAAGAACTAGTTTATTTTCTTGTATAAGTCCGTAAATGTTACCAATTTTTTTATTAATACTAAACAAACAAAAAAAATTGTTAGGTAAACAGTGCAATTTGTATTGAACTAAATAACAAACAAAATAACATGTTATTTTGTTTACGAGTAATAAAAGATGATTTCAACCAAATAACATAAGTTTCAATTCATTAATTTAAAATGTTAAAGAAACCCAAATAGAGAAGTTAGGGGCAATGTATGTAGTACAAATAGGTTGTATACATGATATATTTTCTAGATCAAGTATTTAATATTGGTTCTTGTAGGTTCCCTAAAATATGTGACACTTTTTGTACAAAATATAAGTATTATATGCTAAAAATTTACCACGTTATTTTTAAGCCAGATTATATGTTTGTTATAAAGGCTGATCTTTACTTAATATTCTTTTCGTAAAGCTTCACTGTTGAATAGTTATTTTTATTATATTTAAATATATAAACAAATCCCGTAAGCTCATAAAATTTTAAAAGTTTCTGCTTCCTATGCCTACGCATATAAATTGAAAAATTTCATGCCTTTTTTTTTTAATTTTTTTTTAAATTATACATGATATAGCAACTGATTTTTGTGGTTTTAAAATATACTATTATACTTTAAACAATTTTCAAAATTTCAAACAAGAGTATTACATATATATTTTAATATATGGTTTTCAATATTATAAATATCTTTTTTAGGATTTATCTACCACCTGCCCCATTGTCGATTGTTGTGACCAGTGTATTGAGCTTAAAAGTTTTTTTGTTTGTTTTTCTTTATATCTTATTTTTAAAACGGCAGTTCTATTTTATTTTAGATGAGACTTAGATGAGATTAGATGAAACGTCAGAAAAAGATGAAACCATCTCATTGATATAAAATAGAACTGCTGTTTTAAAAATAAGATATAAACAAATAAACACAAAAAACTTTTATGCTAAAGACGCTGATCACAACAATCCAGATCGATTGTCAGCAAGCAAATTCTTTTTAAAAGGTACTTTGTTGGAACAATCGCTTTTCTTTCTAGTGTTAGTGATGGTTGAAATCTAGTACCGACAATGTTATATTCAACATTTCATTCAAACTTCATTGTTTCTTTATTGTTTATATCATGAACTATAATTACTTAGAAAAATTTTTACAAAGTTCAATGCCAAATTTTTCACCCATTTAAATTTTCTTTTTAAAAGCATTTACTCTTATTATTTTACTAGCTCTATCTGTAATCATTACTATGCCGTATCAATTAGTAATCTTGTAGCTAACTAAAAATCATGGTTAATAATTTTGTTTATGCATTGTTGCTTTTGCAAAGGTAGATAATGGTTTTTCATTGTATGAAAAGGTATTTTTTTCATAAAAACTCTGGTTCATTATCATTTTTATCATTATTACAATCATTGTCATCTAAAGAAGTATTGTTACACTAAACCAAATATAAACAATGATTAATTCTCTTAAAGTATCAGTTTTGTTGTTGTAATGCTGCTACAAACTATGCATTTTTGTATTGCAATACGGCTGTATTGAAATACTGCCAGAAACTCTGCTAGTTCTATTAGAAGAGGAGTTCTTAAGTACAAATTAAAAATATTATAAAACCCAACATTAGTATGACAATAAACATTTACTTATATAGTACTAGTTATAAATTGTAATAAAAATACTAATAAATTATACATTAATGAAATAGTATTTAAAAAATGACATAATATATTGCTTTTTAGTAATATGTTCACATTAGAGTGAGTGGTCTCAGTGTAATGCATCTCGCTTCATAATTAGAACACGAAATAGTAGCAACTATCAATTCTTTAATAGCTCTGGAAACTTAACTGAGATTAAGCCATGAAAATTGTATCAAGGTAAATTTTATTTTAAAAACTGTTAGAACTTTTCTAAATATCGTATTTTAAATTTTTTAGATTGTTCAAAATTTATATATCAAGTGTTGGGGGTTTCGTTGTGAAGCGAAAATCTTAAATGCAATATGTGTGGTTTTTTTCTACATGTAACCCATGTGGGGATTATTATTTTGTTGCAATACCTACATTGTAATCTAAATATTGCAACAGTAACATTCACATAACTGTAACATCATTTTCACTAAATATTGCAACTTTTACAATTATTTTTATAATTGTAAAAGTTTCACAAGCAATAAAGTATCAATAAGCTAGTTTTTTGTAAGTTTGTTCTTTTTTTCTATAGCAAGTAATTAAAAATCACATAACTTTTTACTAATCTATAACTTTCTGTTATAATGTTGTTTTAATTGTGGCTTTAATTTTGAACATTTTATTAACTAATTTACGTTTAGATTTGTTTAAGAGACCCTTTTAAATGTTTTTTTGATTTTCAAAGTTGAAAAGCTGATTAAATAATGTTAAGTATAAAAATAAGGTATCTAATAAATTTGTTTTTAGCTTCGTGGGCACAATGGAATGAACTTATGAGCTCCAATGACTCTTATATTTTGAAAAAAAGACAAAGGGGTTGTAACAACCTCATTGCCTGTGATCGTTGTTATGGTATTAATTCTGAGATAGAAAAAAACTCAGGTAAATTTACTTCTTTTTACACATAAAATTTAAAAAAAAGGAGTTTCTCTTAACTTTTTTATGGCTCACACACATATACATATATATATATATATATATATATATATATATATATATATATATATATATATATATATATATATATATATATATATATATATATATATATATATATATATATATATATTTATATATATATATATATATATATATATATATATATATATATATATATATATATATATATATATAATATATATATATATATATATATATATATATATATATATATATATATATATATATATATATATATATATGTATATATATACATATATATATATATATATATATATATATATATATATATATATATATATATATATATATATATATATATATATATATACATATATATATATATATATATATATATATATATATATATATATATATATATATATATATATATATATATATATATATATACATATATATATATATATATATATATATATATATATATATATATATATATATATATATATATATATATATATATATATAAAAATATATATATATATATATATATATATATATATATATATATATATATATATATATATATATATATATATATATATATATATATATATATATATATATATATATATGTATTTAGGTATACATTACGAAAGTATTTTGTATTTTAAAATAAAAAAAAAATTAAAAAAGATGGCCGCCATTGGTAGAAGTCGATCCTCTAGCTACTTGTTCAGAATTTCGACGCTAAATCCACTCGAGCTACACCAGCATATTGTATGGCGTAGACTTTATATTAATGTAGTTCGGCAATATTATATATAAGATATATGTATATATTTAAATATAAATATATATATATATAAATATATATATATATACTATATATATATATATATATATATATATATATATATATATATATATATATATATATATATATATATATATATATATATATTTATTAAAGGCTAATAAATTCGGCAATATTATATATAAGATATATGTATATATTAGGGTTGTTAACCGGAGGATTTCGTGCAATTCCGGAAAAACAACATTCTTTCGTAAGGAGATTGAGAACACGGAATTACATTTTTTCGTACCGAATGTTACAAAACATTTAAAATCGCCGATGTTCATTTCGCAAAAGCCACTTCCGAAATTAAGCATTTCGCAAGTTGACATACGAAACAAAACTATTTTGCAACATACGAAAGTAGCGGTTTCGGAAGTCGCACTTGCGAAACAAACATTTTCGCCAAACGACGTTTTGAAGTCTATAAAGAAAATTTGTTTGCCAGACTGATTTTAATTGTAAAAATTAACATCTTTAAATCCCGAAATGTTTATAATAAATTTTTATTTTCAGTATAATAACTATTAAATTTTTATGGTTTTATTTTTAGAAATATTAATAAAAAATAAAATTTCTTTCGAAACGAAAGTATTTCGGATCACAACATACAAAAGAATTCTTAACGGAAATAAACTTAGGAAACGTGCCATAATAAATATATACAACGATGTTTTTTGAACTCATTACGTATATTAAAAATAAGAATGATGGGTAGGAATAATCATGTTTTTTTTTTAAAGCATATGAAATTTTTGAAACAGGTTC